GATAAGCAAATATATTTTGACTAAACATTTATTATGCTCTTTATGACCTTAAAACATCTGCAAGATTTCAGAGCATTCGGTTTTGTAGTTCCTGATTAAATCAATAAAATATATTTACGCATTCATTAATTTTTTTGAGTCACCCTGTATATGCAAATCCAAAAAATATGAATGGAGTGATAGATCACAAGTACAGACTCATCATATTTTGTACATTTTAGATATGATTTATTCCACAAACTTTTGAGCTGACGTCATCAAGTTTTTGGAGGGGGTAAGCAAATATTTTTTGACTAAAGATTTATGATGCTCTTTATAGCCTTAAAACATCTGCAACATTTCAAAGCATTCTGGTTAGCAGATTAAAAATTAAATTTCAAAATGTTGTTTTATAATTTTGATTTTTTTTCCAAAAATCTGGACGTTTCGGGTGAAAAGTCGATTCGGAGTTGTAAACTACATGTGTAGGACTATGTTATTTTATACAATTGAAAACCCATTTACTATGTACAATTTTGAAGTGACGTCATCGCATTAGTGGTGGGGATGATTAGAGAAATTTTGGTTAGCGTTTTACCATCTACATGATATTCTTAATATAAGTACAAAATTTCACAACAATCGGTCGAGTACTTTCGGAGATTATCTGTCTAATAAAAATCCGGGACAACAGACGGACAGACGGACGGACAGACGGACAGACGGACGGACAGACGGACAGACGGACAGACGGACGGACAGACGGACAGACGGACAGACGGACAGACAGACGGAAATGGGAGACCTATTTCTTCGTCTTCTAGGGGTCATGAAAGATCGAGAAAACGTAAAAGTAGAGAGTCGGCCGACGGACTCGATTACAATACTTCCTTTGCTTACGCTCGGGAAGTAAAAATTATAAAATCGGAACATTGAAAAATTGTAAAAATAAAGAAAATAAAAACTGACACGAAAAATTGCAAATGGAAAAATTAAAAATTGAGAACTCAAGAAACTCAGCTCGAAAAATTGCAAAATCAATCAATTGAAAAATTTGAAATCGAAAAAAGGAAACAAAAAAATGAAAGATTGCAGAACTGAAACATTCAAATCAAAAAACCTAGCGTTATTTACGCCACTAGATTTTACTTTATAGAGGATATCAGAAAACAAAAATTCCAAAAACAAAATAAAATTTTTCGAAAAACGTTTTGCTTTGTTTAATTTGACAGATTTGTTTGCCTTTTTTTATCACACGTGTAGCCTTCTTTTCACAATAGGAAACTTAAAACATGTTGAAAATGGTAAATTTTTGTAGAGAAATATATATTTTGCAATTACGGTCTAACTACGAATAAAAAATTCATCACAATTGAGACAGGGGCGGGTGGGTGGGGTTTAATTTTTGTTTTTTTATTTATTTATATCGAGAGTTTTCTTTCAACAACAGGATAGTTAGCATGTTTTTAGTTTCTTGCTGCGAAAGAAGACTTCGTATATTAAGAAAAAAATGGACAAAATATAAGCCCCGCCCACCCAACCCGTCTCAATTCTGATGAATTTTTTTATTCGTCGTAAGCCAGAGGGTGGAGCTTAGTTGCAAAATCCTCGTTTCTCTACAAGAAATTACCAATGAAACATGTTTTTAAGAGAGTAGAATTTTCTATAGAAATTTTGATGTTACAATAATTAAACTCCGCCCCTCGGTCTGATTAGGAATGAAAAACTCATCACAATTATTGAGATCGGGGTGGATGAAAAAAATTTTTGGCACAAAGAACAAGAGATATTATAATAAAAAACATGTATGTATTATTCAATAATTTTGGACTGTACTCCTAATGTAAGCCACTAGAATAAATTCAAAATTCAAAACTCGTGAAATTTCCAATCGAAAATCTGCAAAATCTAAAAATTGAAACGTTCGAAAGTTGGGAGATCGGAAAACTGGAAAATTTTAAAAGTAAACTCGAAGAGATATCGCACAACTGTAGAAAAGAAAAACAAAAAATTGAAAAATTGCAAATGGAAAAATTGACGAAACGAAAAATTGAAAAAAGTGAAATTGAAAAAACAAAAAATTATAAAATCGGAACATTGAAAAATTGTAAAAATAAAGAAAATACAAAACTGAAACGAAAAATTGCAAAAGGAAAAATTAAAAATTGAGAACTCGAGAAACTCAACTCGAAAAACTGCAAAATCTATAAATTGAGAAATTTGAAATAGAAAAAATGAAACAAAAAATGAAAGATTGAAGAACTGAAAAATTCAAATCAAAAAACCTGGCGTTATTTACGCCCCTGGATTTTACTTTATGGAGGATATCAGAAAAAAAAATTCCAAAAACAAAATAAAATTTTTCGAAAAACGCTATGCTTTGTTTAATTTGACACATTTGTTTGCATTTTTTATCATACGTGTTTCCTTCTTTTCACAACAAGAAACTTAAAACATGTTGAAAATGGTAAATTTTTTAGAAAAATATATATTTTGCAATTACGCTCCGCTCCTCGGTCTAACTACGAATGAAAAATCCATCATAATTGAGACCGGGGTGGGTGGGTGGGGTTTAATTTTTGTTTTTTTATTTATTTATATAGAGAGTTTTCTTTCAACAACAGGATGGTTAACATGTTTTTAGTTTCTTGTTGTGAAAAAAGACTTCGTATATTAAGAAAAAATGGACAAAATATAAGCCCCGCCCACCCACCCCGTCTCAATTGTGATGAATTTTTTATTCATTATGAGCTGAAGGGTGGAGTTTAGCTGCAAAATCCTCGTTTCTCTACAAGAAATTACTATAATAAACATGTTTTTAAAAGGGTAGAATTTTCTAGAGAAATTTTGATGTTACAATGGTTAAACTCCGCCTTAAACAAGAGATATTATAGTAAAAAACATTATGTCAATATATTATTCAATAATTTTGGACTGTATTTTTAATGTAAGCCACATAGAATAACTTGTACTTTCTCGTTTTTTGTCGAAAAACTGAAAAATGTAAAAATTAAAAAATTCAAAATTCAAAACTCGTGAAATTTTAAATCGAAAAACTGCAAAATTTAAAAATTGAAACGTTCCAAAGTTTGAAAATCGAAAAACTGCAAAATCTAAAAATTGAAACGTTCGAAAGTTGTAAAATCGGAAAACTGGAAAATTTAAAAATGAAAACTCGAAGAGATATCGCAGAATTTTAGAAAAGGAAAACAAAAACTGAAAAATTGACGAAACGAAAAATTAAAAAAAGTGAAATTGAGAAAACAAAAAATTAAAAAATCGGAACATTGAAACATTGTAAAAATAAATAAAATAAAATACTGAAACGAAAAATTGCAAATGGAAAAATTAAAAATTGAGAACGCGAGAAACTCAACTCGAAAAATTGCAAAATCTATCAATTGAAAAATTTGAAATCAAAAAAAGGAAACAAAAAAATGAAAGATTGAAGAATTGAAAAATTCAAATCAAAAAACCTAGCGTTATTTACGCCACTGGATTTTACTTTATGGAGGATATCAGAAAACAAAAATTCCAAAAACAAAATAAAATTTTTCGAAAAACGTTATGCTTTGTTTAATTTGACAGATTTGTTTACCTTTTTTATCATACGTGTAGCCTTTTTTTCACAATAAGAAACTTAAAACATGTTGAAAATGGTAAATTTTTGTAGAGAAATATATATTTTGCAATTACGGTCTAACTACGAATGAAAAATTCATCACAATTGAGACCGGGGTGGGTGGGTGGGGTTTAATTTTTGTTTTTTTTTTTTATTTATATATAGAGTTTTCTTTCAACAACAGGATAGTTAGCATGTTTTTAGTTTCTTGCTGCGAAAGAAGACTTCGTATATTAAGAAAAAATGGAAAAAATATAAGCCCCGCCCACCCACCCCTTCTCAATTCTGATGAATTTTTTTATTCGTCGTAAGCCAGAGGGTGGAGCTTAGTTGCAAAATCCTCGTTTCTCTACAAGAAATTACCAATGAAACATGTTTTTAAAAGGGTAGAATTTTCTATAGAAATTTTGATGTTACAATAATTAAACTCCGCCCCTCGGTCTGATTACGAATGAAAAACTTATCACAATTGAGATCGGGGTAGATGGACGGATCTTTGTTTTTTTTTCTTATATTTAAAACTCGAGGAATTGTAGAAAAAGAAAAATAAAAAATTGAAAAATTGCATATGAAAAAATTGAAACGAAAAACTGAAAAAAGTGAAATTGAAAAAACAAAAAAATTATAAAAATGGAACATTAAGAAATTGAAAAATTGTAAAAATAAATAAAATAAAAAACTGAAACGAAAAATTGCAAATGGAAAAATTAAAAAATTAAACTCGAGAAACTCAACTCAAAAAATTACAAAATCTATAAATTGAAAAATTTGAAATCGAAAAAATGAATTGTATAAAAAAAAGTTGTTGTATTAGTAATCTAGAGTGAGAAATTAAGACATGTGTTACAATGTAAAACTGAAGTAATAACATCTAAAAACTTTGGTTATAACTTAAAAAACAAAGATTAGAGCCTGAATAGGTGAATTTCCTAACACGTGGTTTATTGAGACTTTACAAACAATAAACAAAAATTTACACCACGTGTTAACAACGGCGAAAGTCCACAACATTTCAGATTAGAAAACCATTAATAATAATTAATTACGCTTGTTGAGGGAAACTGGCATCGACGTCTGTGCGATAAATATAACTCCTATTGATAATTTTAGTCAAACGATAACAGCTATTTGAACTGAAGTATGTCTAAATTTAAACTAGCCACTTAAGTTAGACTCTTTTAATGCATTTTGGTTTAAAAATTTTGCTCCCATCATTGGTTGCATAAATCCTCTATGCAGATACTGTAAAAACAACGTTGACCCATCCGGTTTTCCCAATAAATTAATTTTAATTCCGGCTCCCGAACAACACGCAAATGTCCAAACAAGCTCAAACATGCAAAACTTTCTCGGGGAATTCCGATCGCCCAGATTTCCGTTACTCATCGCCGTTATTCAAAACAAGAACGTACAAGATTCAACTTGTGCATGAAGCTTGTTTTCATGCGCGAACTTACAAAAGATCGATGATCCGGCGGCAGGGAGTCGCACCTTTATAAACTAAGCAGCAAGTTAAGCAACATTGCGAAGCTGCTAGTGGTGGAGTGAACAACGCTTAAGTAAGTGTTAAGTACCTATACCATATCACCAAGTGACTTAACTCACTTTACAAATTACAGTTCATCATGAGCCACTGCTGCCACTGCTACTTTGGAGCGTCTTACGACCCTCCTCACGAACACCACCAAAGAAGCGTCATTATAAGACATGTAAAATCTGGCCTAGTTCTCGACGGCGCCGACTACGAAGTCAAGCTTCAAAAGCACAAAGGGTCAAGTTCGCAAAAATGGAAACTCGAATGCGCCGAACTTGGTCGATTTATTATTAGAAATAAACGAAATTGGTAAGTTTCGAAAAAAATTTGTCTTCGTTTTATTGTTGTTTGACTCATGTAGGAAAGTCCTTGATATAGAGGAGGGCGTGCAAGAAAACGGTCCTCTCATCACGTACCCAAAACACGGATATACCAATCAATTGTGGTATATTAATGCAAATGGTACCATTGAATGTCCTGAACAATCTCTAGTTGTAAGTGCCCTTAAGTCCGAGTTTGAGGCCGGAACTCCAGTGATAGCTGCCCTTAAAAAAGACGGCGACGATCAAAAGTTTGAACTGGATTATCCTTAATAAGTGCGTTTAGTTTTAAACAAAAATGGAAATTATGATGACTGAACATACGAGGAGAGATCGGAAAATAACGAGACAGGTGCTATATAATAAAACATTTCATTTTCGGTCAAAGAGAGTTACTTTAAGGTTAGCTATGTAAGAAAAACTTGGGTACTTGAAACATTTCCACATTCTAGATGATTGTGTCTTGTGTTTCGTAATTTCCCGAGCTTTCCTCGTAGGTATTGTGACGATTTACTCTGGGTGCTGATTACATTTTCTCAAATTTTATATTAAAATTTATTTTGTATTGTAGATAGATGTAAGTATTTTATTAGTAATAAGCTACTTATATAATAATTCATAGTTAACAAAAAAAAAGTGTCAAGCTTAAAATATTTTTAGTATATATATATTTATAAAATATACATATATCTGGAAAGTTTTTTTAATGCATTTGTAATCTTTTTCCCTTGAAGATAAGAAGATAATCCCCCTTGTTTGATTGTTCCTTTTATTGTGAAAGTGTATCCACATCATCTGCATTTTCTACGTATCAAAATTTAAAAATCGAATGAAATACCGGTCTGTAAGAAAAAATAATCAAAAACCAGAAAAAATAACCGGCCAAACGAGACGCCCTTATCCCTCCATCTCTCTCTTACTCCCGTCCTCAAATACGTTGTTTACGCGCGACAGGGCGCCACTGGTTCAAGTTCATGATTGGGACGTCTGCGTATTTAAACCAATTAACCATAACATTACCATCGTCGCAGCGTAAATTCCACCGCATGACCATTTCCCATCCGACCGCTGGGTAAATCCTGTTACGAAACCCTAAAAATAGGGTTAGGTCCTAGCCACACCTACAATCCCATTTTTTACGTAATAGTGCCTTAATTCGAGCGGCCTTCATTGCGACGATATTAAAAACCTAAAGCTATAAAGATACGCCACAACCAAGGTCACCATCTGGTATTTGGGTACGTAACATCCGAACAAAATGAGCTACGGGTTCCAGCCGCCACCGTACCAAGGGGGGCCGCCCCCACAGCAAGGCTACCCCAGTGCGCCGCCCCCGTACCAAGCGACGCAGCTGTCGTACCCGCCGGGACAGGGAGCGCCTGGAGCACCTGGGGGACAGAGTGCTGTGATCCGACACCTCACCACTGGGTTGTGTCTGGACGCCACAGAGTACGACGTGAAGTTACAATATTACAACGGAAATCCTGCACAGCTATGGACAATGGAACCGGCTGGAGGGAATAAATTCGTTCTTAGGTGTAGGGCAAATGGGTAAGACTTGATTACGTGAAATTTGAGCTTTTTGACTGTGTGTTGGTAGGGCTGTTTTGGATATCGAAGGGGGTCCAGACTGTGGGGCTCACTTAATCACGTACGAAGGCCACGGCGGCATTAACCAACAATGGTATGTGAATCCAGATCACACGATTACAAGTGCTGCAGCAGATTTGGCGGTGGATATATTCGAAGGCAACTGTTTTCCCGGACAGATTCTTATAGCGTATGATAGGCACGGGGGACCCAACCAGCAGTTCAACGTCCAATACCAGTAGGAAAGCAACGCTTCGATTCAGATTCTTGTGTTGGAAATGTACTCGATACTTTATGGTAAATGGAAATGTTTGAAGTTGTACTTACGTTTAGGGCCTCTGAATTTCGTCACAATCACTTTTTTCGGTTAATTTGGTTGTTTTGGGGCACTTTTCACATAATATTGAGGCAGTTTTTTTACAAGTGTCAAACTTTAAAATTCGCGTTTACAGTGGTGCCAATCGACAATTTTATCCTAGAATTTTACTGTTTTTAGGTTATTTACATTTTTGGATATAAATATGCACAAGATTGCCTTAGAGAAATGCTTGTTGTTGTAATTGTAAGGCGATAGGTGTCTTATTGTAATTATTATATTTGTCATTTATTATATTGAAATTTAAAAAATATATGAGGAATTTTGGTAGCCATAGGCGGCGAAGTATATTTTTACCCTATGTATTGAAGGGGTTTCTAAAATAAAAGCTCTTGCCAGTTGACGAGTTTTAATAGGACATAACTATTAAGTGGGATTTATAAACTTGCTCCGTTGCCAAATTGACCTTTATTGTAAGTTTGATGTTCAAATTTTGCTGTATTTAAAGGGGTTATAGAAGAAAAGTGGAGAATTTCAGTTGATTACTACAAAAATTTTCCATTTTAGACATGTTTTAAGTTTCTTGTTGATGAAATAAGTCTACATTTATTAAGAAAAAAAGGTAAAATATAGCCCCGCCCACCCACCCTATCTCAATTCTGATGATTTTTTTTATTCGTCGTGAGTCAAGGGGGTGGAGCTTATAACTGCAAAATCTTTATTTCTCTACAAGAAATTAAAAACATGTTTTTGAGTACCGTGTTAGTCAAAGAATATTATGTATATTAAGAAAAAAACAAAGCCAATGATTACGCCGCACCCATATTCGCTCTCAATTCTCAATTATGATGAATTTTTCATTCGTTGTCAGATCGAGGGGCGGAGCTTAATTGCAAGATCCATATTTGTCTACAAGAATTTACCATTGGCAACATATTTCAAGTTTCTTGTTCTGAAAAGACGACTACATATATTAAGAAAAAGGGCAAAATATAAGGCCCGCCCACCCGCCCTATCTCAATCGTTATTATTTCTCTACGGGAAATTACCTTGTAAGACATGTTTTTGAGTATCGTGTTATTCCAAGAATATTATGTATATTAAGAAAAAAATAAAGCTAAAAATTAAGTCCCATCCATACCTGCCCTGATGTAAATAGTAAATACAATAAAATTTTCATCCGTTGGCAGATCTAGAGGCGGAGCCTCATAGAAAAATCCATATTTCTTAAAAAATTTGCCATTTTAAACGCGTGTTTAAAATTTCTAGGAATAAAGAAATCATCACAATTGGGATGGGGTGGGTGGGCGGGGTATATATTTTGCCTTTTTCTCTTAATATACAGTATTTTTTTAACAACACGATACTCAAAAACATGTTTTTAATTTCCTGTAAAGAAATAAGTATTTTGCAGTTAAGCTCCTCCCCCTTGGTTCACGGTCAATAAAAAAAATCATCACAATTGCGATAGGGCGGGTGGGTGGGCTTACTTTTTGCCTTTTTGTTTTAATGTGTAGACTTCTATTCACAACATGAGACTTAAAACATGTTTAAAATGGAAAATTTGTATAAGGAAATATCGATTTTGCAATTAGGCTCCGCCCCATTACTGGAAAATCCATATTTCCTTGCAAAAATGTACCATTTTAAGCATGTTTCTGGTTTCTTGTTGTGAAAAGATGGTCACGTATATTAAGAAAAAAAAAAGGCAAAATATAAGCCCCGCCCACCCGCCCTATCCCAATTCTGATGATTTTTTTCATTCGTCGTAAGCTGAGGGGCGGAGCTTAATTGTAAAGTACTTATTTTTCTACGAGAAATTACCATGAGAAATATGGTTTTAAGTAATCGTATTATATATAGAAAACTAATTGTATTAATTAAAAAAGAAAACCAAAAGAGAAACTCCACCCATCCGTCTCGATCTGAATCTTCATGAATTTTTCATTCGTTGACAGACGGAGGGGCGGGGCGTAATTGCAAAATCGATATTTCCCTAAACCAGTTTGCCATTTTAGACATGTTTAAAGTTTCTTGTTGTTGAAATAAGTCTACACATGTTAAGAAAAAAAAGGCAAAAATGTATCCCCGCCCACCCGCCCTATCTCAATTGTGATGATTTTTTTTATTCGTCGTGAGCCAAGGAGGCGGAGCTTAACTGCAAAATCCGTATTTCTCTGCGAGAAATTAAAAACATGTTTTGAGTATCAAGCTAAAAATTACGCACCACCCATATCCATCCCAAGTTCCATTGTGATTAATTTTTCATTCGTTGTCAGAGCGAGGGGTGGAGCCTAATTGCAAAATCGATACTTTTCTACAGAAATCAGCTTTTCATAATCTCATAGAGCAGTTTTTTTAGCCAATAGTACGTTTACAATACGCGTGATAGTTTAGTATCTGTTCACGAAACATAAATGATTATTTAGCAATGTTATTCAAGGTTAGATAAATGTTTCTCGCACGGAATGTGCTAATAAATCGACCAGAGCACAGCCTGTCACTAAAGATTATAGGTTGTGTCTAGTGATCTTGCGAGTTTTTGTTCAATGCGAAAAATTCGTTTATACCCCACTTTTGCGCCGCCACTGGAAACACTGTCACTTTCGGACACCGTCATCCTAACCTCTTCGCCCTGACTTCGGTTACTTTTTTCTAAAATCAAACAACACAAAACCCTTTAGTCCACCTCTCACCTTTTTCTCCTCAAAAACTAAAAAAATCCAATTTACGCATTAAAAATTCCTCTTAATTTCACTCAGTCACGTGCGTCGGCCACGTGGTCCCACCATGACATTTCCATTTCCCCTGACAGTTCACCAGCAGGCATCTGTCAAACCCTCTTACGTCAAGCAAACCCGTGAATCGCAGTCTGTGACTCTCTCAGTTCAAAATAGAATTTCTCGAAGCATGTGTTAAACAGCGAACGATGCAAGAACCTCGCGAGCACCTGAAAAATCGCGTTTACTATGCCGCCAAGGACGGCATGTCCATAGCCCTGTACGCCCTCCTGGTGGGCGCCAAGAAGCAAGAAGTCGAAGACATCCTCAACGAGGTGAGTCCCTTTGTTCGCGGCCGTTGGCACCGCCCGCATGGAAACCGGATAAATTTAACCTTTTGCAGAAGTTCGCCGAAGACGACGGCCAGGAGTGCACCCCCTTGATCGTGGCGGCGCGCCAGGGCCACGACAAGGTGATGAGGATGCTGCTGGCCAAGTTCAGGCCGGACCTGGAGAAGGAAGGGACGGTCAAGTTCGACGGATATGTCATCGAGGGGGCGAGCGCGCTGTGGTGTGCGGCGTGTGCAGGTATTTGCTAAGGGGGCTAAGGACGGTTGCACAACGGGCTAGAAATAGCGGTGGTAAATCTTGATGTTGTGATTGATAAAATTCGGCGCCAGTGAGGTTGTTTATGAAATCATTCGTCATTTCAAGGATGTGGGGTTTTGAAGGGATGGGTTTGTACTAATAAAGCAGAATGCGCACTAAAAACGGGTCATTTTTTAGTGAATAGGAAAGTGTTTGGCATGAATGGATTATAAACATGACCATAAAATTATGTGTTAATCATACATTAAATGTTTTATGCACACATTAAAACAAGGTGATTTGCTAAAAAAAAAACAGACAAAAATGTATATCCCTACAAGAGTGATATTTATTTATTTGTTTTCATTTTGCCGGTGACTAGCTATAATTTTAATTTAATACTGGTTTATTTATGAAGGAAACTTGTTGGTTTAACTACTTCCCCAACGCTGTTTAATGTTAATATTATGTCTGTTTAAAGTACGATGTATCAGGCTTTATTAACTTAATCAACCTCACGAAGTTTACATTATTTGAAAAAAATATACACTGTTAGTTCTTAAAATACAACCGAAACTGTTAAAGTTGCGAAAAATTTTGAAACCCACCAGTTTTATTTTTTCCAACTTCACTAATTTCATATACAAGTTCAGGGTTTATGCGTTGGTGAAGGTTTTTAAAACTATGAAGGTTTTCTTTACAACAGACGAAATTCAGCAAATGCAGCTTTCTTTGTTGTTTTGATGTGATGGAAGAAGATGGACTGCGCCATTTGGCACGGAGCTCGGAAAAAACTTGTTTGTATACCGAGTTTTTAGAATCTATAGTCATCGTCTTGAAATTCCAAAAAACCTAACCATTTTGTATGTTTGTTATCCCCTCCAAAAAGGGTATGACGTCATCTCAAAATTGATTAATACGCAGTTAAAATTTGTCAGAAAGAAATATAAAAGAAAAAAGAGAAACGAACAATTTTGTGAAAGAAGTTTTCTTCCAGTTGCTATTCACATTCTTTCATAACTTAGTTGTTTCATTTTTTATTGAAATGTGCCTTCAGTTTTAATTTTTGTGCAAGTGTGTGTCATTTCCGACGAAACTAGACATGGTAAAATTTTCAGGCCATCTCAACGTGGTTAAAACCCTCGTGAAAGCCGGCGCCGACGTTAACCACCCTACTAAGTCAAATTCCACTCCACTAAGGGCAGCATGTTTCGACGGTCGCCTGGACATCGTCAAGTACCTGACATATCATCGCGCCGATATTAATATAGCTAATAAATACAACAACACTTGTCTTATGATAGCAGCTTACAAGGGACATTTAGATGTCGTAAGTGTTTCCTCCCTCAGATAATTGTAATAGTACTGTTGCTAGGAAAGGCGACATGCAATTTGTGTTGGGTACTAAATTTGCTAACGAACTTTGCTTTTTTAACAATTTATGTTAAGCGTATCGTTTCGTAATTCAAGGATAATAAACTTCTCTCTCAAAATAGTTTTCGATTCATAACAGTGCTATTAACAATAATAATAACAAAAGTGAGGTTAAGGGCACAACAAGTTTTTTGCGTCTAAAGCGACATTTCTCTTCGTGCTGATATTTTTCTACTCCTAGGTAAGTTTCCTCCTCGAAAACGGCGCCAACCCCAACGAGAAAGCCCTCTGCGGCGCAACGGCCCTCCATTTTGCCGCCGAGTGCGGCCATCTTCCCGTGGTCAGAGAATTACTCAAATACGGCGCAACCTTCTCGACGAACGACTCCGGGATGACGCCCATCAAAGCCGCCGCCGAGAGGACGCGGGCCGAGGTGGTGGAGTTCCTCGTCGAGCGGCCCGAGATCAGCAAAGAGGACCAAATCGAAGCTCTCGAATTACTAGGCGCGTCGTACGCCAATGACAAAGAAAACTATGACGTCGTCATGGCTTACAAATACCTACACAGATCTATGAAGTTGAGGTGAGTCCGAGTTTTAAACAAAGAACTCCCCTCCCACGTGCGCAATAAAATTTATGGAATAAACACAGAGTCGCCGATTGGTATTTTTAGAGAGCAAGGTGAATGTTAGCATTTTTGAAGAAATCGAGCGTTTTGCGTTTAATGGAATACTAAAAATAGGTTTTTTGTACGACTATAATTAGGTGGCGTTTTTGGCAGTGGCGTAGCGGGCGGTAAAGAGGGTGGAGGGATTTGCTGAACCAGGAAGTTGACAGAAATAGGCGCGAGGAGAGTGATGGACGCGATGACAAGGCGCTTTTGAGGAGCGTGAGATATGGGGAGAGTTCACAGGTTTTTGATTATTTAAGCGACAGATTTTTTTTGGCACAATTATAAAATCGTAATTTTTTGTATAAGTAGGTTCAACGGGTTAGTTGATATTTTATTTCGTCGTTTACGACTTCATTTTTGGGTCATGGGGTCATGTTTTTGTTTGAAAATTTCAAAATGCTACGCCACTGTTTCAGAGTCGGTTTCGCAATGTACTTTAAACAAATGGGAACACTCTCCACGTGTATACTTCATTAAAACACATCATTGTGTAATAAATCGAACAAGTGCAATTGACGCACTGCCAAATCTTTTTCAATCAGATTTAAAATACTTAAGGCGTCCAAGACTGACCGAGATTCAGAAAAATGTCTATACATCTCTGGAACGAATACAACAGAAGCTACTTTCATATTCTGGGAACGTTCGGCTTGCACCTACATAAAATTTTATTGCATTAATCAGTAATAAATGCGAGAAATTCAGAAGTAAACAAGTTTTTTAAGGACGCATGAATGTGGAATGTAGTGCAACACTCGCTCGGTATTTTTGTGGATTCACATATGGCTTAAAAAAAGTAGAACGGAAAGTTCCTAAAAATATGCAACCAATTATACATGTAATTATAATAAATAACGTGGGAGAGCGATACAAAACGATCAAAGGCGGCCATGGACCTTTGACGTTTGTCTTCGATTTGACGTAGTTGACAGTGACATTTAATTTAAATCAAATAACTCCGTCCCCCAGGTACAGCGAGCCCGACACCCCCGTCAAAAAGAAACTCATCACCCCCATCCCCGCCTACGAGCACTGGGTCGAATCTCAAACCGTCTTCGAGCTCGAATCCATCCAGCACAACCACAACGCCATCCACATGGAGGCCCTCACCATCCGCGAGCGCATCCTGGGGACCCAGAACCCCGAGGTGCCGCACCCCGTCATCTACCGCGGCGCCGTCTTCGCCGACAACGCGCGCTTCGAGCGCTGCCTGGAGCTGTGGCTGCACGCGCTCCGGCTGCGACAACGAAACCACATCTCCGTCGTCAAGGACCTGCTCAGGTTCGCGCAGGTCTTCTCGCAGATGCTCCACGTCAACGTGAAGGTCACGTACGAGCACGTGGTGCAGGTGTTGTCGGCGGCGATCACGGAGCTGGAGCGCAACAAGCACAAACTGGACAAGCCGGGCCCGAAGGACGACCCGGAGACTGTGATGGTAAGATACGAGGCGGCGAAATTGGCGCGTGGTAAAGTCGAGGCTTTCAGGAAGAGTTGGAAAGCAATCTGACGACGACGTTGTACCTGTTGACGATTCTGACCAAGCTGGTGAAGCATTGTTCGGAGGAGGAGAAGTTCAACGTGAACAGGATGGTGTTCACGTTGAACCAGCTGCAGGTCACGCTGAGGGACGGACAGACGCTGTTGCACCTGGCGTGCAACGCGGAGACGCCGGTGGACGACTTCCACACGAACGACGTGTGCAAGTGAGTAGGTGGTTTAGGGTTGTGACGTCATGCAACAAAAACGAGTTCGTTAAAGCATAAGGAAAAAACTTGATTCACTACAACTCGTCGCCTGAGAACTTGTTTGATTTACAGACCAGAGCGCGCTCAGGCCAATGTCGACTCAAAGCGTTCAGAAGCGATTTGGTTAGTTTAGACTATAATTTCTGCGGGAAATCGTTATTTGGTCGGTTTTTATAACGACTAAGTGAATATTTTTGGTACATATTTAGATGATTTTACATATTTTGTTTAACTAAGAATTATTTTATTTGTGTTTTGTACTAGCAAAACGCCTTAAACTAAGAATATTGTTGAAATCGTAATAATCCAATGGATTTTTTTCGGGAAAACGTTTTGGAAACACTGTGTTCTATTTTGTATGATTTTTTTTTAATGTTTTTAGTGACAATTTTTGTGGTTGTTTTCGATACACGGTATGATATTAACAGTTAGAAAAAAAAAAAAATTAATTAAAATAATCGAAAATTCGAAATATCGAAACCTTAAAAAATCGAAATATCGAAGAACTGAAAATCGAAAAAATGTAAAATTTAAAAATCGAATAACGAAAAATCGAGAAATCGAAACTCCCAAATTTAAAAAATCGGATAACTGAAAAACCGAATCATCGAAAAACTGAGAAATCGAAAAATCAAAAGATCAAGAAATCGTGGAGTCGAAAAGTCGAACAATTGAGAAACCGAAATACGTCAAAATCGAAAAATCGAAAAGTTAAAAATTGAACAATTTATAAATTGAGAAATTGACAATCAAAATGTCGAAAAATCCAAATCTCGATAAATCGGGAAATCAAAAAACTTAAAAATCCAAAGAACGAGAAATCGAAAAGTGATGAAGTCGAAAAATCGAAAAAAAAGTCAAAAGTTGAAAAATTGGAAAAGCGGAAAAATCAAAAAACGAATAAATGGAAAACTGGAAAAACTGAGAAAGCGAAATAGGCCAAAATAAAAACTTCAAACATGATAAATCGAAAACCTGAACAATCAAATCTCGATAAATCGGCAATGAAAAATTCAAAAACAGAACATCTAAAACCAGGAAGTCGAAAAATAGAAAGATTAATAAGAAATATTGAAAAATTAAAATATCAAAAGATTGAAAAATCTAAACTTTAAAAATCCAAAAATTGAAAAATCGAAAAAGTAAAAGGTTGACACCGAAAAACCCAGAAGTCAAAAATGAAAAGCCGAAGAATTGAAATATTGAAAAAGCCTAAAACTGAAATATCTAATAACTGAAAAATCGAAAAATCAAAAAAGTGAAGTCGAAAAATAGAAATCTTAAAAAATCAAAAACCTGAAAAATCAAAAAATTAAAGAAAGAAGAACAGGAAAAATCGAATCACTCGAAGGTCAAGAAATGGGAAAATCAAAACATCGATTAATTGAAAAATCGAAAAATTGAGAGTTTATATAAGTCAAATTTGAAAAATTAAAAAATCGAAAATTTGACAAAATGACAATCGAAAAACAGACAATCTAAAACCGGGAAGTCGAAAAATCAAAATATTAAGAAATCGAAACATGAAAAATTCGAAAAAGTAAAAAATCGACACATCGAAAACTCCAGAAGCCAAAAATCGAAAGTCGAAGAATCAAAATATTGAAAAATCCCAGAACGGAAATATCGAAAAACTGAAAAATGGAAAACCTGAAAAATCCAAAAACTGAGAGCCTAAAAAGTCGAAAAATTGAGCAATAGAAAAATCCAAAAAGTGAAGTCGAAAAATTGAAACCTTAAAAAATTAAAAAATAAAAAACCTGAAAAATCGAAAAATTAAAGAATTGAAGAACAGGAATATCGAAACCCTCGAAAGTCAAGAAATGGGAAAATCAAAACATCGATTAATTGAAAAATCGAAAAATTGACAGTTCATAAATGTCAAATTTGAAAAATTAAAAAATCGAAAATTTGAAAAAACGACAATTGAAAAACAGAAAATCTAAAACCGGGAAGTTGAAAAATCGATTGATTAAGAAATCAAAACATTTGAAAAATTCGAAAACTTGAAAAATTGAAATATCGAAGAACTGAAATGAAAAATCGAGAACTCGAAAAATCTGAAATTTTAAAAATTAAATAATCCAAAATTTAAAAATCGAAAAAGTAAAAAATCGACACATCGAAAATTCCAGCAGTCAAAAATCGAAAAGTCGAAGAATCGAAATATTGAAAAATCCCAAAACTGAAATATCAAAAAACTGAAAAATGAAAAAAATTAAAAATGGAAAACTAACTCGGGAAATCAAAACATTGAAAAATCGACAAATTTAAAACGACAATTGAAAACAGAAAATCTAAAACCGGGAAGTCGAAAAATCGGAAAATAAAGCAATCGAAAAAGTAAAAAAATCGACACATCGAAAACTCCAGAAGCCAAAAATCGAAAAGTCGGAGAATCAAAATGTTGAAAAATCCCAAAACTGACATATCGAAAAGCTGAAAAATGAAAGAAAAACTGAAAAATGGAAAACCTGAAAAATCCGGAAACTGAAATATCCAAAAACTGAGAATCTAAAAAGTCGAAAAATTGAATAATAGAAAAATCCAAAAAGTGAAGTCGAAAAATTGAAACTTTAAAAAACTAAAAAATGAAAAATCGAAAAATTAAAAAATTGAAGAACAGGAATATCGAAACCCTCGAAAGTCAAGAAATAGGAAAATCAAAACATCGATTAATTGAAAAATCGAAAAATTGACAGTTTATGTCAAATTTGAAAAATTGAAAAATCGAAAATTTGAAAAAACGACAATTGAAAAACAGAAAATCTAAAACCTGGAAGTTGAAAAATCGAAAAATTGAAAAATCGAAAAAGTAAAAAAATCGACACATCGAAAACTCCAGAAGCCAAAAATCGAAAAGTCGAAGAATCAGAATATTGAAAAATCCCAAAACTGAAATATCGAAAAACTGAAAAATGAAAGAAAAACTGAAAAATCCAAAAACTGAGAACCTAAAAAGTCGAAAAATTGAGCAATAGAAAAATCCAAAAAGTGAAATTGAAAAATGGAAACCTTAAACAAATAAAAAAATAAAAAATCGAAAAATTAAAGAATTGAAGAACAGGAACATGGAAACCCTCGAAAGTCAAGAAATGGGAAAATCAAAACATCGATTAATTGATAAATCGAAAAATTCACAATTTATAAATGTCAAATTTGAAAAATTGAAAATTTGAAAAAACGACAATTGAAAAACAGAAAATCTAAAACCGGGAAGTTGAAAAATCGATTGATTAAGAAATCAAAACATTTGAAAAATTGGAAAACTTGAAAAACTGAAATATCGAAGAACTGAAATGAAAAATCGAAAAATCGAAAAATCTAAAATTTTAAATATTGAAAAATTAAAATATCAAAAAACTGAAAAATGTAAAATTTAAAAATCGAAAAATCGAAAATTTTAAATATTGAAAAATTAAAATACCAGAAAATTGAGAAATCTAAAATTTAAAAATCGAAAAAGGTAAAAAGTCGACACATGAAAAATCCAGCAGTCAAAAATCGAAAAGTCGAAGAATCGAAGTATTAAAAAATCCCAAAACTGAAATATCGAGAAACTGAAAAATGAAAGAAAAACTAAAAATGAAAAACTAAATCGGGAAATCAAAACATTGAAAAATGGAAAAATTTAAAACGATAATTTAAAACAGAAAATCTAAAACCCGAAAGTCGAAAAATCGAAAGATAAAGCAATCGAAAAATTGAAAAATCGAAAAAGTAAAAAAATCGACACATCGAAAACTCCAGAAGCCAAAAATCGAAAAGTCGAAGAATCAAAATATTGAAAAATCCCAAAACTGAAATATCGAAAAACTGAAAAAATGAAAGAAAAACTGAAAAATGGAAAACCTGAAAAATCCGAAAACTGAGAACCTAAAAAGTCGAAAAATTGAGCAATAGAAAAATCCAAAAAGTGAAGTCGAAAAATTGAAACTTTAAAAAAATTAAAAAATAAAAAATCAAAAACCTGAAAAATCGAAAAATTTAAGAATTAAAGAACAGGAATATCAAAACCCTCGAAAGTCAAGAAATGGGAAAATCAAAACATCGATTAATTGAAAAATCGAAAAATTGACAATTTATAAATGTCAAATTTGAAAAATTAAAAAGTCGAAAATTTGACAAAACGACAATTGAAAAACAGAAAATCTAAAACCGGGAAGTTGAAAAATCGATTGATTAAGAAATCAAAACATTTGAAAAATTCGAAAACTTGAAAAACTGAAATATCGAAGAACTGAAATGAAAAATCGAGAAATCGAAAAATCTAAAATTTTAAATATTGAAAAATTAAAATCCCAAAAAATTGAGAAATCTACAATTTAAAAATCGAAAAAGTAAAAAGTCGACACATCGAAAAATCCAGAAGTCAAAAATAGAAAAGTCGAAGAACAGAAATATTGAAAAATCCCAAAACTGAAATATCGAAAAACTGAAAAATCCCAAAACTGAAATCTCCAAAAACTGAGAATCTAAAGAATCGAAACATTGAGAAATCGAAAAATCGAAAATTTTAAATATTGAAAAATTAAAATATCAAAAACTGAAAAATCTAAAATTTAAAAATGGAAAAATTGAAAAAACGACAATTGAAAACAGAAAATCTAAAACCCGAAAGTCGAAAAATCGAAAGATAAAGCAATCGAAAAATTGAAAAATCGAAAAAGTAAAAAAATCAACACATCGAAAACTCCAGAAGCCAAAAATCGAAAAGTCGAAGAATCAAAATACTGAAAAATCCCAAAACTGAAATATCGAAAAACTGAAAAATTAAACAAAAACTGAAAAATCCGAAAACTGAAATATCCAAAAACTGAGAACCTAAAAAGTCGAAAAATTGAGCAATAGAAAAATCCAAAAAGTGAAGTCGAAAAATTGAAACTTTAAAAAAATTAAAAAATAAAAAATCAAAAACCTGAAAAATCGAAAAATTTAAGAATTAAAGAACAGGAATATCGAAACCCTCGAAAGTCAAGAAATGGGAAAATCAAAACATCGATTAATTGAAAAATCGAAAAATTGACAGTTTATAAATGTCAAATTTGAAAAATTGAAAAGTCGAAAATTTGACAAAACGACAATTGAAAAATAGAAAATCTAAAACCGGGAAGTTGAAAAATCGATTGATTAAGAAATCAAAACTTGATTTCTTAATCAATCGATTTAAATAATAAATAAATTTGAAAAACTCGAAAACTTGAAAAACTCGAAAACTTGAAAAACTGAAATGAAAAATCGAGAAATCGAAAAATCTAAAATTTTAAATATTGAAAAATTAAAATATCAAAAAACTGAAAAATCTAAAATTTAAAGATCGAAAAATTGAAAAAACGACAATTGAAAAACAGAGAATCTAAAACCGGCAAGTTGAAAAATCGATTGATTAAGAAATCAAACTTGATTTCTTAATCAATCGATTTATAAATAATAAATAAATTTGAAAAACTCGAAAACTTGAAAAACTGAAGTGAAAAATCGAAAAATCTAAAATTTTAAATATTGAAAAATTAAAATATCAAAAAACTGAAAAATCTAAAATTTAAAGATCGAAAAATTGAAAAACAGACAATCTAAAACCGGGAAGTCGAAAAATCGAAAGATAAAGCAATCGAAACATTTGAAAAATTGAAATATGGAAGAGCTGAAATGAAAAATCGAGAAATTGAAAAATCTAAAATTTTAAATATTGAAAAATTAAAATACCAAAAATTGAGAAATCTAAAATTTAAAAACCGAAAAAGTAAAAAGTCGACAAATCGAAAAATCCAGAAGTCAAAAATGGAAAAGTCGAAGAATAGAAATATTGAAAAACCCCAAAACTGAAATATCCGAACAATCAATTAATTGAAAAATCGTAAAATTGAAGAGTAAAGCTGAAAACCGAGAAATTGAAAAATTGAGAAATTGTAAAATCCAAAAATTGAAAAACAAATAGGAGTAAACTGAAGTCCCCAAACTAAAATTTCGAAAAACTGAGCATTCGAAAGTTGAAACAGCAGAAATTACGGTCGAAACCGGTTAGGATGTGTATCAGATCACGGATCATGGCTTATAAATCAAATCGTTTCCGAACGCTTAGAGTCGACATTGGCCTGAGTGCGCTCTGGTCTGTAGATCAAACAAGTTCTCAGACGACGAGCTGTAATTCATGTGACCTGAATTAAAGTGAACGAAACAGTAAGCAAAGTCAATTTGTCGAAAGTAAAACGCGTCGTTAAAAATATTATGACATTTTTTCTAGTTAATTTTATTCCTAGTTTGTACAAAACACTGTTCTCTATGTTCTCTGGTTAAAGTAACGATAATAATGTTTTAACAGATTTCCGTGCGCCGAGACGACCCGGCTGCTCATCAAGTGCGGCGCCGACGTCAACGCCATGGACTACGACCGCAACACGCCGCTGCACGTCATCGTGAATTACCACAAACCCATCTCGGACTTCCTCACCCTGCACTCGATCATCACGGACCTCACCGAGGCCGGCGCCCACCTCGACTGCGTGAACAAGCGCGGCGAGACCCCGCTGGAGTCGTCAGCCACAGGTAGTAAGTGTTCGGAGTCGAGCCACCGCAGGTGTCGCTTGCCCGGTCTGCGACTAACCTTTCTTCCGCAGGCGTGGCGGAGATCATCCTCAAGACGCAGATGAAGCTGAGTCTGAAGTGCATCGCCGCCAACGCCGTCAAGCACCACCGGCTGACGTACCAAGGTCAGGTTCCTGAAGCCCTCGAGTCGTTCATCGAGCTCCACGGTCCCGGGATCGTGAAGAAAGCCTAGTCATTTTAGCCCGGCGTGGAGTTAGGTTAAGCGAGAATTTATTTTTGAAACGTGCCAAATGATGGTGTTATTTTTTGAGACTGCTAAATAGGATTTTTTATGTATGTACAATGTTTGTTGTCGGGGCGAACGCCCCGGTTTTGTTATTTTTGTACAAAGTGCTAATGTTTTTGTTTAGATTTGCTTGTAAGCTAACCTATGTGATGTTACGAATTCGGATTTTGTAAATTGTATGATATTGTAGATATGGTGCATTATCACTAGAGATAAAATATTTATATTTTATTGTATTTTTTCTATTTTTTGAATAAATCGAAGTGTGATATCTGTTTAAGGTGGGTCTGGGGCGCACCAAATTTGCATACCCGTCCCCTCAAAAAAGTTGTGACGTCATCTCAAATAATTCAGCCTTTGATTTTTAAGTTTCTGTTGGTTTATAAAATCGTCTTCAATTTATTTATCCCTTCCAGAAAGTTGATGACGTCATTTAACACATTACTAAATCTGAAATATTTTACTATTTGGACAAAAAAAAAAATGTAAACAAAACTTTACAAGTAAATATAAAATTTATCTTTTAACCAATTACCTTTTTTACTACACTAGCATCACTTTTTGTACTACAAACGTCTGACCGCGTCCACAAAATGGCACGACAATGAACCTTAAAATTACCACACTGGTTCCACTAACTACAAGTTTTGAATAATAAGACCCATAATTATCCACCACTCAGTCTTCTTCAGTAATACAATTTTCAACCATTTCCTTTAAATTTGGGTTCTCCATTGCGGCTGCTATCCTCTCCTTGTCATTAATTTGTTTGTTAACTGAAATAATACGGCACAAATTGCAAAACCTTATTACTTGACGCTATACTTTCATGTTCAGTAGTATGGGCACCAGCTTTAATATAAATATCCAGTTTGATTCGATATGGAATACTTCTCTCCAATTTTATTCTAATGCAGAGCCCTATCAATGTCGCCAAGGAGCAATGGGGCACCGTTGGGTTAAATTCAACCCTGACAACATTAACATCACCCGAAGTCCGTTCCTTAACCTACAACACGAAATTAATTCCTCTTCTTTCACAAAGTAGAAACAGCCACCTCGACACCCTCCTCATACACCACGTTAAGCTCCTCCAAAGTATTAGGCTTCTCCGGGTCCTTTATCGTCCGAATTACGTCTGAAACAACCAATCAATCTAGGCTAACCTCACTTTCCCAATTACCGTAAATCGTGTATTTTAACTCATTGTCGTCCTGGCTCACTTCCTTCACTTCCTTCTTAGGGCTTTCTGTTTGTTTTTTTCGAAAAAATGAAAACATGATTAGGAAAAAATGCAAATAATGCGGGGAATGAATCAGCTGTTCTAACCTTCAATATCAAGATCCGATTCAGGCATTGCGTCCAGGGGGTTGTCTCAAGGGGTGTTCGGGTTCCGAATTTTTAACGTTTCTCGCCCTTCGGACTGTCGTTCGAGACATCTAAGGTCATTTTGTGGCGAACTGAAGCGAGTTGGAATTATCTCGAGTTTATGCACTTGTAGCGATAATTCGGTGTTGAGAGGTTTATCAAGTGCATGGATAAAGCGGGGCTGCTCGGAGGTGTGTTAGTTCCATTTATACACGAAAAGTATAAATAAATGGGTCGATACAACTTTCAAGGTTATGGGTGCGAAAATTGAAATGATTTACAAATTGAGTTTTTTGACGCTCGGGATGTGTTAATTTACATTGAAATAGTTTGGGGCTGAGAGGACTCAAATTGGGGGTTTTTTAACAGACGAGAAATTTCTAGAACAAATTTGAATTTGGCGCTTGTGGTTTAAGTTTGACGACCAATCAAAAATTTGCGCGCCCTTTTAATAATAACTTGCTGTTGACGTTGCAGTTCCCGCAGAAAAAAGTGGAGGATTTAAGTTGATTACTACAAAATTTACCGTCTTAGACATATTTTAAGTTTCTTGTTGCCGAAATAAGTCTACACATATTAAGAAAAAAAGGCAAAATGTAGGTAAAAGGTAAAATATAAGCCCCGCCCACCCGCCCTATCTCAATTCTGATGATTTTTTTTATTCGTCTTCACCCGAGGGGCGGATTTTAATTGTAATTCCTTATTTTCTACGAGAAATTACAATTTTTTTCCCTTTTTTTCCTCTCAATCAGTAAATAATATTGAACTAAGGTTTGTATTTTTTCGGATTCTCATCAAGTTTATTAAAATGTCAAATTTTTTCTGTACGTCTAACGTTATATAGAAAATAGAAAGCTGAGTTCGAGAAATTACCATGTGAAAGATGTTCTTAAGTAATCGTGTTGTACAAAGAAAACTAAGGGCCGGTTTATAGAAAAGCGAATTAAATATTTAATCTTCGATTAATTTAACGGAGGATTAAAAAGAGCCCGTGATTGGTTAAAACGTCAAAAGAACATGTTTTAAAACAAAAAAATGGATCCATTTAATAAAAAAACGATTTAAATAATATTTATTCGTCAAAATCCTAAAATAATGTCATAAATTTGCAACTTCAAAGTTAAATTGTCAAATGTTAAAAAATTTGTTTTTTTTTTTCAAAAATCTGGATGTGTAGGATAAAAACTCAACGGATTCATAAACTACAAGTCCAGGACTTTGTTATTTTATAATATCTATCTAATTTTGAGTGGCATTTTACTATGTACTCGATATTCACAAGATACATCCAAGATTTGACAACAATCGACCCGTAGTTTCGGAAAGTATTTGACGGCAGACAGATAAACAGTCAGCCAAACGGGAACGAGAGACTCACTGTTTCGTATTTTAGGGGTCATTCATGATACATCCAGAAAACATGAAAGTAGCGATTCGTCGGATGGACCCTATTCTTCTTTAGCTTACGGGGGTCAGTTTTTTTTATGAATGTGCACCACGAGATTTCACGTGTAATTCAAATTTTAATAAATATTTTAAGTTTTAAAAATCAAAAATGTGTAATTTAAAAAATCGAAAAAATGAAAAATTTAAAAATCTAAAATTTAAAGACTGAAGCACGAAAAATCGACTTTTTAATTTCTCTGTTACTCGATGTTTCACTGTTTCAGTTATTAGATTTCTCGAATTTTCAGTTCTTCAGTTTTTCGATTTCCCAATTGTCGATTTTTTAAATTTTGAATTTTTCGATTTTTCAATTTTTCGGTTTTTTGATTTTCCAATTTTTAGGATTCTCAATTTTTTGATGTTTTAGTTTTGCGATATTTCGGTTTTTAAATTGTTCAATTTTTCTCGATTTTCCAATTTTTCGGTATTTCGACTTTTCAATTTTTCAATTTTTCACTTTCTCGATTTCTGGATTTTCTACTTTTTAAATTTTGATTTTTCAATTTTTTTAATTTTAGATTTTTCGATTTCTCGATTTTTCGTTTTTTAGTTTTTCAATATTTCTGTGTTAATTTTTCTAATTTTTAAATGTTAGATTTTCACCTTCTCAGTTATTGATTTTTGGACTTTTCAATTTTTCGATTTTAAAAATTTTTGATTTTTCAGTTTTTCTATTCTTAACTTTTTGGATTTTTCTATTGAAATTTTAGTTTCTAATTTTTATTTGGTTCTAAATATTCAAATTTTCAATTTTTACCTTTTGGATTTTTCGACTTTCGGGTATTTCTGTTTTTCGATGTTTCAACATCTCGACGTTTCAGTTTTTCAATTTTTGGATGTTTCGATTTTTTGGGTTCTCGATTTTTCGATTTTTCGGCTTTTCAATTATTACATTTTTCGACTTTTCAGTTCTGCAGTTTTTCGATTTCCCAGTTGTCGATTTTTTAAATTTTGAATTTTTCGATTTTTCAATTTTTCGGTTTTTTGATTTTCCAATTTTTAGGATTCTCAATTTTTTGATGTTTTAGTTTTGCGATATTTCGGTTTTTAAATTGTTCAATTTTTCTCGATTTTCCAATTTTTCGGTATTTCGACTTTTCAATTTTTCAATTTTTCACTTTCTCGATTTCTGGATTTTCTACTTTTTATATTTTGATTTTTCAATTTTTTTAATTTTAGATTTTTCGATTTCTCGATTTTTCGTTTTTTAGTTTTTCAATATTTCTGTGTTAATTTTTCTAATTTTTAAATGTTAGATTTTCACCTTCTCAGTTATTGATTTTTGGACTTTTCAATTTTTCGATTTTAAAAATTTTTGATTTTTCAGTTTTTCTATTCTTAACTTTTTGGATTTTTCTATTGAAATTTTAGTTTCTAATTTTTATTTGGTTCTAAATATTCAATTTTTCAATTTTTACCTTTTGGATTTTTCGACTTTCGGGTATTTCTGTTTTTCGATGTTTCAACATCTCGACGTTTCAGTTTTTCAATTTTTGGATGTTTCGATTTTTTGGGTTCTCGATTTTTCGATTTTTCGGTTTTTCAATTATTACATTTTTCGACTTTTCAGTTCTGCAGTTTTTCGATTTCCCAATTTCCGATTTTTTAAATTTTGAATTTTTCAATTTTTCAATTTTTCGGTTTTTTTGGTTTTCCAATTTTTAGAATTCTCAATTTTTTGATGTTTTAGTTTTGCGATTTTTCAGTTTTTAAATTGATTCGTCAATTGTTCTCGATTTTCCAATTTTTCGATATTTCTACTTTTCGATTTTTAAGTTTTTCGAAGCTTCGGTTTCCTCATCTTTCGATTTTTCTCAGTTTTTGATTTTTGGTTTTTCCAATTTTTCAATTTTTAAAATTTTTGGTTTTTCAGTTTTTCGATTTTTAACTTTTTGGCTTTCTCTATTGAGATTTTTATTTTTTTATTAGTTTTATAAATTTTCATTTTTTCAATTTTTAACTTTTGTACGTTGCCTAGCAACAGACCTCAATTAAAAGTTAATCGCGAATTAACTTTAATTTCGCTTTCTATAAACCGGGTGTAAATGTATAATTCCAAAATCGATATTTCCCTATATAAATTTACTATTTAAAATATGTTTTAGGTTTCTTGTTGTGAAAAGATGACTGCACACATTAAGAAAAAAAAGTCACAATGTAAGATTCGTCAATTGTGACTATTTTTTTATTCGTCGTGCGCCAAGGGGGCGGAGTTTAACTGCAAAATTCTTATTGCTCTACGAGAAATTAAAAACATGCTTTTGAGTATTGCGTTGTTCAGAGAATACTATGTATATTAAGAAAAATAATACCAAAGATTAGGCCCCACGCATACCCGCCCCGATCTGAATATGTAGTAAAGTTTTCATTCGTTGCCAGACCTAGGGGCGGAGCCTAATTGCAAAATCCATATTCCCCTACAAAAATTTACCATTTTAAACGTGTTTTAAGTTTCTAAGAATAAAAAAATCATCACAATTGAGATGGGGTGGGTGGGCGGGGTTTATATTTTGCCTTTTTTTCTTAATATACATAGTATTCTTTGAACAACATGATACTCAAATACATGTTTTTAATTTCTTGTAAAGAAATAAGTATTTTGCAGTTAAGCTTCGCCCTCTTGGTTCACGGCGAATAAAAAAAATCATCACAATACAGAAAGGGCGGGTGGGCGGGCTTACATTTTTTCTTTTTGTTTAAAGATGTGTAGACTTCTTTTCGCAACATGAAACTTAAACCATATTTAAAATGGAAAATTTGTATAAGGAAATATCGATTTTGGATATTATATCACATACTTACAATCCCTATTTCCTTGCAAAAATGTACTATTTTAACCATGTTTTAAGTTTCTTGTTACGAAAAGATGGCTATGTATAATATGAAAACAAAGGCAAAATATGAGCCCCGCCCAACCGCCCTATCTCAATTCTGATGATTTTTTTATTCGTCGTGAACCAGGTGGGCGGAGCTTAACTGCAAAATTCTTATTTTTTGCAAGAAATAAAAAACATGTTTTTGAGTTTTATTTTGTTCAAAGAATACTATGTATATGAAGAAAAACACAAGTCAAAAATTAAGCGCCACCCATATCCATTCTAAGCTCAATTATGTTAAATTTTTCATTCATTGTCAGACCGAAGGGCGGAGCCTAATTGCAAAATCTATACTTTCCTACAAAAATTTACCATTTTAAACGTGTTTTAGGTTTCTATGAATAAAATAAGCACCACATTTGTGATGGAGTGGGTGGGCGGGGTTTGTATTTTGCCTTTTTTTCTTAATGTACATAATATTTTTTGAACAATACGAAACTCAAAAACATGTTTTTAATTTCTTGTAAAGAAGTAAGTATTTTGTTTGAATAAAAGAAATCATCACGACTGAGATAGGGCGGGTGGGCGGGCTTATATTTTGCTTTTTTCTTTTATTATGTGTAGACTTCTTCACAACATGAAAATTAAGATATGTTTAAAATGGAAAATTGGTATAAGGAAATATCGATTTTGCAATTAGACTCCGCCCCATAGTTGCAAAAAAATGTACCATCTTAAGCATGTTTTAAGTATTTTGTTGTGAAAAGATAGCTGTGTATATTAAGAAAAAAACAAGGCAAAAAATAAGCCCCGCCCACCCGCCCTATCTCAATTTTGATGATTTTTTTTATTCGTCTTTAGCGGAGGGGCGGAGCTTAATTGTAAAATCCTTATTTTTCTACGAGAAATTACCATTTTTTTCCCTTTTTTCCTCTCGATCAGTAAATAATCTTAAACTCAAGTTGAACTAAAAAGCATGTTTTTCAGGATCATGTTGTTTAAAGAATACTATGAATATGAGGGTTTCGGTGAACAGGTGATTAATTGGCTTAATATTAGTACACCTCATTATCTCTATCCAAATTTGATTTTCGTGGAAATAGTGCTGTCGACCAGAAAAATGTCCCCCGTACTTCAGGGAATTTTCCTTCAAGTTGGCAGCACTGCACTACCGCAGTTTGACTGCGTCAACGTCAACGTCAACGGCGAACAACAACGTCAGCGGCAAGTTTATAAATCGACCTTAAGGGCAACTAACCTTGCCTCAATTGAGAATAAAGATACCACTGTTGTTCCTGTCGGTTTTTTTCCTTAAGGAAGCATTACACGTGTATCCCGCAAGCTATCAAGATTCTGCCACTGGTGGAAAAATTCAAAACTAAAATTAACAAGTGTCTTTATTATTTCGCCAGTATTGTTATCAATAGTTACAAGTTTAAACTGCTGAGTTTTAAGTCCAGGTTGCAACGTCTCCAACGTAAGTTCGTTATCAGGGTTGACCTGGAGGGCTAAATTCTGATTCTTTGCACTAACAACAGTATCGTTGTTTCGATGCACATACCACAACTGACTTTCTTTGAGTGCATCTTCCTCGGAAGTGATAACCTTATGACCTTTTACTATTCCATTTTCCACATCTAGGGATTTCCTGTAGCAAAATTAACGTTTTGACGTTTAAAAAAAAATGTATATCTATCTTGATACCCGGTTCTCTTGTTAACAAAGCGAATTTTTCCGTCAGGTTGGGTTTTCACCAGCCATGACTGTGATCCAAATTCATCTTCACCTCCTTCTCGTGCTTTGACATATTTCTCGTATCCGTCTAAACGAAAAGTGTCAACGATGGCCAGGCTTTCGATGTACGTGTTAGTTTCGGTTCTAGGTTGTTTGCTAATGGTCGCTATAGGTAGTGTTAGGAGAAAAACAAGTGAGCTAAAATGGTTGAAAGAGTAACAAAAACGACAAAAATGAAAACTGACTTCTTACAATTTTATTATTAATAATGAGAAATAGTGTTGCATTTTAAACTGACTTAACTATTTACTTCATAACAAAACAGTGATAAAAGTTGGAGGTTTCTGAAAAAAAAAGTGGTCAAGGTGTTATCAAAATGGCGACCTTTGCTCATCTCTGATAAAATTCGCCATAAACAAATTGCATTTGTAAGATTTATTTCATTTTTATCTCTCAACCTTGTGATCTTTATTCTGCATCTATACATAATTAACAACACGAGGAACCAAACATGAAGCAATATGGGCAACAAACGCAACTAAATTCGAATTTCTGACTAGGACTACCGTCTTTCTCTGCTGCTAGAACTCTGTGTTCTTCTGCCACATCGATGGCCATTTTTGCACCACTAAAGTTAACTATCGAACCATCCCAGTTAATGTACCAATAGTAACTCTCGCTCTTATATGAACACGATGTGACTAATTCGGTGTCCCTTATGGCTAAGCCGCACCTGCAATAATAGTGACCACAAGACTAAACATACCGTAATTAAATTTACACTTGCCCATTTCTACTGTTAAAAATGTAAAAGGTTCCATCGCAACGGTGCCTCAACTTCCACAGCTGCCCAGCAGTTTGAGTTACATTCCTCAGGTGGACTATTTCTTCGCTAGCATCCAGGACCATGCCGTTATGTGACCACTTTATGGTGACGTAGGGGTCATAGCATGACGCAGAATCAACGTTATCAACGAAAAATGGGCAGAGAAGAATAGCCAAAAATAAAACGGTGGACCTGAAATATAAACATTTTCAAAAAGCACTGACTGAAATTTTCACTAGATACTTACGCCGACATTTTGAAATTGTTGAGCGATTTTTGACAGTTTTGGAAACGCGCAGCTTATGTAAGACGTTATAAATAATTTTATCGCTGTTGTTTAACCAATTTTATTTAGATAATCGGATCGTGATACGTAAAAACCCGAATATGCGGCCTTGCAGACTATTTTTGGACTACATAAATAAATCTAATTTATCATTAGCTGGATTTACTTAGCAAAATTTCGAGATGACGTCAGCAAATTTTTGGTGGGAATAGATCTACAGATTTTTACTTCCCGAGCGTAAGCAAAGGAAGTATTGTAATCGAGTCCGTCGGCCGACTCTCTACTTTTACGTTTTCTCGATCTTTCATGACCCCTAGAAGACGAAGAAATAGGTCTCCCATTTCCGTCTGTCTGTCCGTCTGTCCGTCTGTCCGTCCGTCTGTCCGTCTGTCCGTCTGCCGTCTCGGATTTTTATTAGACAGATAATCTCCGAAAGTACTCGACCGATTGTTGTGAAATTTTGTACTTATATTAAGAATATCATGTAGATGGTAAAACGCTAACTAAAATTTGTCTAATCATCCCCACCACTAATGCGATGACGTCACTTCAAAATTGTACATAGTAAATGGGTTTTCAATTGTATAAAATAACATAGTCCTACATGTAGTTTACAACTCTGAATCGACTTTTCACCCGAAACGTCCAGATTTTTGGAAAAAAAATCAAAATTATAAAACAACATTTTGAAATTTAATTTTTAATCTGCTAACCAGAATGCTTTGAAATGTTGCAGATGTTTTAAGGCTATAAAGAGCATCATAAATCTTTAGGCAAAAAATATTTGCTTATCCCCTCCAAAAACTTGATGACGTCAGCTCAAAAGTTTGTGGAATAAATCATATCTAAAATGTACAAAATATGATGAGTCTGTACTTGTGATCTATCACTGCATTCATATTTTTTGGATTTGCATATACAGGGTGACTCAAAAAAATTAATGAATGCGTAAATATATTTTATTGATTTAATCAGGAACTACAAAACCGAATGCTCTGAAATCTTGCAGATGTTTTAAGGTCATAAAGAGCATAATAAATGTTTAGTCAAAATATATTTGCTTATCCCCTCCAAAAACTTGATGACGTCAGTTCGAAAGTTTGCCGAATAAATCATATCTAAAATGTACAAAATATGATGAGCCTGTACTTGTCATTTATCACTCCATTCATATTTTTTGGATTTGCATATACAGAGTGACTCAAAAAAATTAATGAATGCGTAAATATATTTTATTGATTTAATCAGGAACTACAAAACGGAATGCTCTGACATCTTGCAGATGTTTTACGGTTATAAAGGGCATAATAAATGTTTAGTCAAAATATATTTGCTTATCCCCTCCAAAAACTTGATGACGTCAGCTCGAAAATTTGCCGAATAAATCATATCTAAAATGTACAAAATATGATCAGTCTGTACTTGTGATCTATCACTCCATTCATATTTTTTGGATTTGCATATACAGGGTGATTCAAGAAAATAAATGAAAGCGTAAATTTATTTCACTGATTTACTCAGGAACTACAAAACCGAATGCTTCGAAATCTTGAAGATATTTTAAAATTATCCTAAGCATGGTAAATTTTTGATCAAAACGTATTTGGTCGTCCTCCCTAAAAAATTTATGAGGTCACCACAAAATTTTGCTGAATAAATCCTATCTAAAATGTACAAAATATGGTGAGTCTCTTCTTGTGATTTATCATTCCATTCAAATTTTTTCGATTTGCATATACAGGGTGACTCAAAAAAATTAATGAATGCGTAAATTTATTTTATTGATTTAATCAGGAACTACAAAACCGAATGCTTTGAAATCTTGCAGATGTTTTAAGGTTATAAAGAGCAAAATAAATTTTTAGTCAAAATATATTTGGTTAGCTTCTACAAAAAACTGATGACGTCAGCTCAAAAGTTTGCCGAATAAATCGTATCTAAAATGTACAAAATATGATGAGTCTGTACTTGTGATTTATCATTCCATTCATATTTTTGGATTTGCTTATGCAGGGTGACTCAAAAAAATTAATGAAGGCGTGAATTTATTTTATCGATTTAATCAGGAATTACAAAACCGAATGCTTTGAAATCTTGGGAATATTTTAAAGTTATTATAAGCATGGTAAACTTTTGTTCAAAATGTATTTGTTCATCCCTCCTAAAAAAATTGATGACGTCACCCTTAAATTTTGCTGAATAAATCCTATCTAAAATGCAAAAAATATGATGAGTTTGTACTTGTGATTTATCATTCCATTCATATTTTTTAGATTTTCTTAAGAGGTGGTTCAAAAAAATTAATGAAGTCAATTTATTTTATTGATTAAATTAAAGGCAACACTTATTATTAGTATTACACCCCAACCAACCCAATTTGGTAGACACAAAATTTGTTAAAGGAAAAACTCGGTTGAAACATAAGGGTAGCACGCTTATTTACATCGACTTTAACATTACAGACCTGCATTTGTTTTATGCGCTCACTTGGTTCCGCGAATGTGAAATAGACATGTTTATAATCAACCAATTGTGAATTTCACCGTCAAGAATTAAAATAAAACCCAATGTTTTATATAATAAGCGGAAGTCGAAGCAATAAAACCGATGGTCGTTTTGTTTACAGTTTCTCTGTTTGACTCTCACGTATGCTGTTACGCCTGTCATCTTAAATTAAGAATGTTTATACATACACGATTTTCAGTTGCCTCTGATACGTATACGTGAGTAAATTGTTTCGTTATTTTATTGATTATTACAAATCAATATTCAAAACGACCCAATTCATTTTTCCGAAAATTTGAGAATACATATAATAATTTTATTCTTAGTATTACACTACATCTATTCCAACTGATATACGTGTCCTTGCAAAAATGTTGATGACGTCATCGCATTTTTTTTTAAATTCCCACTACAAAAATGTAATGAGAAAAAAAACACAATAGGCATGCAGTCGTCAAGTTTCCGACAGCGAGGGAAGTACTGTCTAAACTCTTTAGACCAATTTTTTATTTTAAACTCAGTCTTAGTTTGTTTATAGATTCAATTGTTACGGTTCGGCTAGATTGCCTATTGTTGTCCTTTTCTTCGCCTCTTCTTCTCCCCTTATCAGGTCCGTACCAGGCCTAATCTCCTCGCACTCGCTCCAGAATCGGCTTATGAATCATGTGTGTTCCCTCGGGGGCCCCAGGTGCGCCCGCCACCCTCTGTATTTGTCGTCGAGGAAATCGCGTGGGAGCCCGACCAGACGTCTCCACCTCTACGATGTGTTGTTTACCGCACCGGAAGCAAACAACGTGATGAGCCCCTATCACACGCCGCTCTGATTGGTCGCTGCTTATTTCGTTGTTTTCGTCCCCTTTGAAGCGCGATCAATTAATTAAAATCGGTAAGAAGCGCCGGATTTATGTGGGAGCTACCTTTCCAGATAAACAGGCGCCGATGCTACACGTCCCATATAAAAGTCGATTCATTGTTTAAAAAGGGTTAGTGTGAAGTTTATGGAGTTTTGCGGTGGCGCCACGCATTGGTGCAATCTAGTAAAGTGCGTTCCGTCATTCTGTTCTGCCACCTATAAAGCGCGGTATTAGCGGTGCTGTCTTTTATTGGTTCGTACAGATGGGACGCGAAGAAAAGTGGACGATTAATTCGAGTTCGGATTCGAATGGAAAGTTGCGGCGGAATTTGCATGGAGAAGGCTTGATTAGGTGTCAGGGGTGAAAGAGGCGCCGGGGTTGGAAAAATGGCAGCGGTGACAAATGATGCGAGAGGCTAAACTGAAAGCAGCTAAACTGGAGACATTTCTCAACAGTTTTGGTGAAGCGGCGAGCGCGGAAGCGCGAGCGAAGCTCGCGACGTTCCTATAGTGTTTCAATAAAGCTACTCGTAAAGCATGAAATGGCATTTCCACAGCACAACTGCCATTCAGACTATTAAAAATGCATCTGGCCTTAATTTTTTCGTTCGTCGAGTAGTAGGTGGATGCTATTTATAAATCACCCCCCAAAATAAGCGCACTGAAACAAATTGATATCTCGGTGGAGGGTTGAAACAGTGGCCATCCTCGATGAATAATTGAGCAGCGGATTACTTTATTAGATGTCGATTATTAATTAATTTATAAGAACGTAATTAGTCTGCCATATTTAATAGGACCCGGAAGACCGCAGCTCCCACAGAACGAACGGTTCAAATGGGGAAAACGGCTTCAGCCACCAACGTTGATTATTACATTTCCCCTCCTCCTCATGCATCGAGAACTGTGAAATAATCCAGTTAGTTCATCATTTCAATTCATTTCTGAAATCGTATTAGCCAACCGGAGCGAGTTTATGCAATGATTTTACTATTTATGTCTTTCATTCTTAATGTAATTTATCTTGTTCTTTGCCGCCTGCTGCTGTTTCGCCGATTTAAGATCGCACGCTTGCGAAACACGAAAATCTTATTATAATCCGTTCAGAGTGAAATTTCGTTTCGGCGAGTGGAGAAGTTGGCGAAGTGCTCAAGAAGGCATCAAGGCCAAAAATTCCGAAGTTAGGGGTGCGAAATGGCGAAATATAAGCCGCTGGAGTGTGTAACAGAGAAACCATAGTTAAATTACGCGAATAAAGAACCACCGATTCATTTTTTGAGGTTTTAAGAATCAAGCTTTTGAAGTTTGGCCAAAATTTGACATCTCAGGACTGTAGTTCTGTGGAATAGATATCGATGATCTCAAGTCAATACCGCGTAGTCAATTTTCGGGTTTTCGAAATAAGTTTTTAACCGTTTTGGAGTTACGTTCCGTTAAATGTGAAAAACGCTTTGTGAATCCGGCAAATTAAACTGTCCGTTATACAGGATGATTTCGAAATATATGCAATAATTGTAACCACGGCATTACGTGGCGTAGTAATGTGGAAATATAGAAAAAACAAGTTAAAAGTCGAATGGGGCAAAACCCCCATGCACCACCCTCGATGTGACGCCACTGATCCACCTTTTCAACAGTAGATGGAAAAATGTTCGAATAAAAACAATATAAACACCTTCAGAAACAAATGGTAGTCCTGACAAGGA